GAATGGTCAACCATAAATGAATTCTGTGTGTAAACAATATCAACAATGACACCTACACAGCTTATGAAATATGATTTGTCGGGTAAATGTGTATCAACTATTATTCTGGATGAAAAACAGTTAATTTCTTATTTCAGGTTTATATTATGTGAACATACCAAGTATACGTTATCTCGTGTGAAACTGTGTGCTGTGACAATCAAATTGTTGCATTTTGCACTACTCACCTAGACAAGTGTCTACGTATACATACATAGTACATGTTCACACCACTTTGTTGACCAAATATCCATTTACAAATATGACACACGAAATCAGCTCTACAGGCACCACCGTATGCATCAATAAGTCTACTAGTACATACTACTGTCATCTCGGTATTACGGACAAGTTCATCACATTACGACTGGTTCAGACGCATACCTCGATCGAAACACGTTTCGTCTCCGATACTGGACAAGTTGAAAACAGACAAGCCATTTAATTCACTCGTGAACTGACACTCGCGATGATAAACAGATACAAACAGCAAGTCACCATAAAAAATCCACACCTTTAACATGTAACAAAATCATCAACACACAAAAATTAATAACATACATACTTGATGGCAGTTGATGTGCATTGTTATCTGGTATACTGATACCATCTTCCTCTTCGTCATCATCATCACCTGTACTTGCATTTCCAGTCCCAACACCAACACCAACACCACAACTAGAAGCTTCCGCAGCATCTGGACTAAGACCAAGTACAATACTCGATCTAGCCATCGACAAACGACCACTTTGCCATTGTGAGGCAAGTGTTCCAAGACCATCACCTGAAGACACTTTTCTATCATCCAAACCTCGACTGTTAGGCTCTAACACTCCTCCACCCAAACCGCCGGTACCTTCATCATCATCACCACCCGCCTTCTCAATTAAATTATTCCGTGCAATCTCAGGATCATGTACACCAATCAGTAGACTATAGTCGATCAAATTGTTTTCTTGTAAGAACTGTGATTAGACAAAAGAGAAATGAACAAACAATCATTCGTATAGAATGTCAACCAAAAAGACTGGAGGGAGATATCAAAACACTAACTAGTTGGTTATCTAATTAACCCTTATTGATTCTGGTAAAGGTCAATCATTCACCACATGTCAATGTGATCTCATTTTACTATGAACAGTGTGAAAACACAATCCCCCACCTCATTCATAATACAATCAATAATGAAATTTCGAAGTTAGTTATCACATGAAGATTGTACGTAAACAATAAATTACCAGAACATCTCTCTCAACGAACACACAATAACCTGTAGGGTAGGCGTTAAACAGCACTACGATCAATATCATTTCAGTTGACAGGCATCTATCAATTGGTACCACTCTTTAGACTTTATCTTTGTAACTAATGATCTAACATGACCGAATGATGAATGATAATGTCGTTTCCAGCAAAGTCGAATTTCAACGTGTTTGCTTTGTATCAGAGTAAATTAACGTAGGAGATTTAGTATAAGAAATGTTCTGGGTATCTAGTTGTAACACATTGCATCAACGTACAGAATACACACAATTGGCAAGAGATACGTAGAATGAAATTGATTTAAAAAATGATTAGACAGTACCGATCACCTCTTTTCCTCAGATGCATCGTATACTTCCACACTCAAAGAAATGTTGATTACTGGACACGCTACTGCACAAATTGTGGCACCACACACCACCAACCCATAATGATAACAATCGATCGCCACACCACAAACACAAAAGTCCAATCCAATTTAAATACAACGATACAACAACATCTACACTATTCATCATTTCATACTTTAATCATGAAGTTCAAAGTGTAAGTGTAGATAAGACACTAACATATCACACCATGTGTGTGCTACACAACAACAGAGCAACAGTACTTTGGTACTATAAACAGTAACTACAGATACACACACACACACACTCATTTCGTTCACATGATCAATGCACGCAGCAGTGCTGCATCAGAATTGAAAGAAGACAAACAACCACAACAACAACAACAACAACAGAGGCAACAACAAACAAACTTTTCAAGGTTTCACTTAAATCACACGATGACGAAAAGATGTTCACCTCATTAGTGGATTAAGTGATATAGAGTTGATGAATATTATAAAATGTCTCTCACATGATTAACAACACACCATTTCAACTATTGTACGACTACTACACAATGCACCTTCAATCGAGACACACTCGCCAGATCAAGGTCTCTCGTACTTCATTAGAACGAAGTAAAATGTATGAAATGAACCTTGTCAAGAAGGTCATGCACCACAACATCACTTTCATTGATTAACAGCAACACATAACCATAAGCACAGTGTATACTCACAAAGGACAAATCACTGAAATTATTCTTAGCGGGACATTTCTGTCAGACAACACTGCAGATTCGTCTATAATAGTAACAGTAAAATACAGCTAATCACATGGCAAAAAAATACACCATGACCATTGGTACCAGTAATGAGGAAGACAGTCAGTTTAAAGCTACTTTCAAGTGTGTAATTCACTGCTAACAATAACACAAAACATATTCACAGCATCTGTGGAAATCCAATGCATTTCGAGGTACAAATAACTGCTACTTCAAAGTGAACATAAGCACAACATGTGGTCTTATACACAGTCAGTCAGTCAGTTGCAACATAGAACCTCGTACGCAAGTACATGAGTTCAGGTTGCCATATCACATTAGCACAGAGACGCAATTGTCAGTTCAAATCCCATTGTGGTAGAGATAGTGTCAGTATTAGCGGTAATGGAGAAGATTAGGGTTTGAAGATGTTATTCAAAGAGTATAATCTAATAAAATAAATTTGAGAAGAGAAAGATGTAGGTTATGAGGAACTGAGGTTAGAATTTCAGAAAACGGCTTTGAGCCATTTCGTTCAAGGTCTCTAACCATCGGTTACTATTCATCTCCTGGACCCCAACCAAGTAGTCTACATCCAACAACACAACTCAGTTCACTTGTCAGTGACTTGATGGATTTGTGCCATGTTTTAATTTGGCCGCCCCAAACTTTCTTCCAACCTACCACTACATCGAAAAACATCGTTCGTTCAGTCATGATTCACACACGAAACCATCATAGCAGTAACATCGGCAAACTCGACACACTTGCCCACACAATGCCAAACATGTAATCTGTGAATTAATGGACCCACAGAATGATTTAACTTCATTTCCAACTGGTGGTATACAAGATATAATAACTGTAAGACATCGTTTGAATAGAACAAACTACCTCATGCTTGGAAAATTATTCCACACAACATCAACCAATCAGTCGTAACACATACATGCATCAGTCAATCAGTCAATCTATCAACCAATCAATCAATCACTTACTTGTATATCACATTCCAGTGTATTTAACACCTTCTTCTTAGATTCTTCACCAATATGTATTTTGCATAAATCTGTCAGGAAATCTGCATCTTTCAATGTGGGCAAAGGTTTCGACTAGAAGACAATGATAATAATAACAAACCACAATTAATCAGAAAACCACAAAAACATGAGAAACGATAAAAAAATATGGTGAGGCAAAACTGATTCACTGTATAAGTTAGTTACATTGACGCTGATCATTTCATCTTATTAGCTCACTGTGGTCACTTATATGTACAGGTAGTGTAGTAGCTTTATCGGTCACTTTCTCCAACAAACGAAACTTTTCACAACTTCATACTGAAAACCTACCATCACAGTGTCAGAGTAGCATAGATAACAACCACAGGTTGGCTCATCAAGACACTGAGAGGTGTTGATTTAGAGATTACAAATGTTGAGATGTATGCATTCTATGGGAATATCAAATAAAAATTGGGCAGAACTGGAAAGGGAGGCTGAGGATAGAGTAGGTTGGAGAATACTGCTCAGCAGCCAATGCTCCACTGGGGGTAACAGAAGTAAGTAAACCGGTGATTGATGTTACACGAGAATAGAACTCTTGCATGATTGACAACATATGAAAGGAAATCAGAGAATTAGATAGCTACAATGGTCATTAAAAGTTGAGAGAAAACCAATGCCATGTTAAATAATGTCTGATTTGGCAACATGGGACATTCATTAATATATCAAGCTACTTGATCAAATCATTAGAAGAATGATTTCTGTGCATATAAATAATGCTGTCACAAAAACTATCTACAATCCATAATCGCCACTTTGACTGAGACATCATTTCATAACACTCATCAATAACTAACAAATACAACTGGCTCAATAAACAAACCTAATTTAAGCCAGCTTCAAATTAAGGTTAACACAACCGGATTACACGGTATTAATATTCCCCTTGACAAGGACATCCTCTGAGTTGGATGTTTTGATTGAGAAGCTTTCATTGTTCTTCATCATCACAAACTTCAGGTTAAGCAATGAAGTATTCGAATTTCTCCATGTATGATTCGTAGCTCGTCCTGTTGACCTCGATCTTGATTGGTTGTTATTGCCCTTACACCTGCCGTAGTCTACCTCATTATTTGGATTGTATCCACCGGTAATTCGTTTCCTGATCTTATGTTTGTCCATGAAATTTTTGATAGGTTGATAAATTGTTTTAATGTCAATGTGTTTGCCGATTGACTTCAGTACCAAGCATCACAAAATTCACTACACAATCAAGATCGAGGCCAACAGGACAAGCTATGAGTCATATGTGGAGAAATTCGAATACCTCATTGCTTAACTTGAAGTTTGCGTTGATGATGTAGATGTTCAGAAGAACAACGAAAACTCCTCAATCAAAACATCCATCTCAGAGAACAAAACTCCACTACAATCATTCATCCGAGGTTCAAACTTTCTTCACCATCCTAACGAAGATATTCATAACACATGCACAATACAACGAATCAACATGTGAGTGGCCCATTATTTCAAAAGTGCCATGTTCTCACACTTAACACAGACTATCAACTAAACATTCAACCATGAAACCATAACCAAACAAAAGTAGTCTCATTAGTCACAACCATCTAAAGTCAACCAACAGACACCAGGGACTTCCACACGTCCATAAGACACACATATCATGCATGCACCAACACAAAAGACAATCAATCATTGTCAAACACAAATCCATTTAAAATTATCTGCATACAATTCATAAAAACCTAATGTGTATTTCTCTCTGCGAAATTGATCACATTGCTATTTATAGATCATAATAGAGACAGAAAAAAAATAATCAGGTCAATTTAAGGACAAAAATAATTCGATACATATGATCATCTTACTACTACTACTACTACTACTACTACTACTACTCAGTTAGTTAATTACAGTTGACAATTGTAGACAAATCAAATTATTCCAGTAAGCTATGAGATCTCGTTACCATAGTCTAATCTAACCTCATTTCAAATCGACTGATACTAATTTCCATATCACGTACCAACTCTCCTTGGTGGACTGCTTGAACATAAAGTTATTAAGGATAGTTGTTGCACACAGAGTAGCTCATCAGGACATCGAGAGGTGTTAATTTAGAGAGATCACAAAAGTAGGGATATGCGAATTCTATGGGAATATCGAACAATCACACAGCGTGAAATTCTCATTTTATGACCATATTACTCATTAGTAATCGGGGTTCGCTCGCTCATTCCTCTCGCATCTCATTGGTTGGCATAAACAGACATTTTGAGCTGGTCATTTTGTGTTGGGTTGTTTATCGATTGACTGTTGTCATTTTCTGATTCACCTTGATTGTAATTACGATTTACACTGACATTATACTGTTGTAAACGCGGCTACGTAACTCTTCAGTCCTAACGGCGTCCAATTCAAATATCACAAACGACCCAAAGGCTTTCCCAAATCTCCTAGAAATCAGAACGTAACACCGTGGCAGGAAGATGTTTATTGGGTCGTAAACAGAAGAAGTAGGCAGGGGAAACGGAATTATTAAGTCTTCCAGATAGCGCGTATTTATACACTAAGGTCGAATAAGAAAAAGCATCAACGTCTGTGACATTGACAATTTAGGACGACCAATAGAGAAGGACATTTGAATGACATTGACCGTCCAGATGACCAATAAGAGGTAACATTGAAGTATTTGACCCTGACGGTAAGAACGATCATAATTTCGGCCAATAGAAATCGACCAATAAGATTGCACTTCTAAAAATAGTATTCTTAGGATATTTGGTGAATATCCTAACATATACAAATAACCAAGTAACCAAGACAGACTTTTGACTTGATTAGACGCCAGGTGCGTTATTCCATTGAATCAGACAAAGGGCATCCGTCATATTCTAGACTGCCTTAATGAATAAATATATATTTAACAGATTAATTCATCTAAGCCACTATCTAGCATGGTTTGTAATAATCGAGGTGTAAAAGTAACAAAGGAACATAAGCCAGTTTATTTTGTGAAACATTTAGTGATAAATGAAGAATATTGATCAATTCTTAACAATGGAATTTGACATTTACACCGACAAAGAACAATAATTCAACCGGTTAATTCTGGAAACAGAGAAAAGGGTCACAGATGACGTTCAAAGAGTGATAGAATATCTGATGGTGAGTTATGCTTTAGTTTTCTTATCCTATCTGCACTTCCATTCACGTTGATTGTCTTTAATAAATAAGCCAACAAACTCGGTCAATACCGATATCCACACAAAATTGATCAGTCGGTATCAACACAAACTTTCCAAAATCTATCCATTATACTTCTCAACACTCTCTTATCTAAATTCAACGACACACAATCATGTGAAACATTACAACCAATTCCCTGTTCTACAAGAACCGATCAACACCGAAAATATTATCACATAGTACACACAATGACACTCAACAAATTTACCATTTACACTAAAAACATGAAAAGATGATTTGCAATTTCCCTTGAATTCAAAGTATTAAACTGCCTGTCTCTCGTCTACAGCAGGAAACGAATAACTCAGTCACCTCAATTGTCTTCTCTCTACGGCCATACATTACAACTCGCTGTTCGTTATATCCGAACGATGCAGATAAGCCCAAATGTTTACCAATAACCAAATGTAATCTGTATGTACTTCACAACACCAAAACAGTTCAACAATCAGATTTTTTTGTTGATGCACACACATTCTTATATTGTTGATGAAATGTTGTAATCAGTGGCATACACATCACATGTTGTACATTATAATTGAAAATTAAAACAAATTAAAACAAAATAAAATTCACACCTTCAATGGAATTCAATAAAACAACATGATGATGATGATCACCATTATCAGCATTCACCACAATGTAAAACAAGTTTAAAAAAAGAGATTTAGGCGGGAAAACATGTTTCTGACATTTATGTTTGAACACATAGACATTCAAACAAACAAACACACACGAACACGATTAAATGAAGCGCACACACACACGAACAGGATGAAATGAAGTGCGCGCACAGACACACACACACGAACACACAACGAGGAGGTGAACAATGGCGTAAAAGAGGAAAAATCATGGTGCATAGATGTTACAACGTCACACACGCAGAGAGAGAGATATGTGCACAAAACTAGGGCATGCACACTGATATTGTGTATATAACAATCATGCATATTTTTTGTACAACTATAAGTGCATCAGAGCAAGTACCCTTATGTTGTACGTTAAGGATAAATAAATTTCATGCACTTAGTTATTATCATCGTGGTAGTAGTAAATAGTAGTAGTCAGATAAGATTACTACAAACCCAACATAATATACACTTTACTCAAGCCTACAGCGTATTCGATCGGTTCAATGTTGGTATGCAGGTAGTTACGTGGTAAGGTTTACAGTGTGCCAAGCGAATGACATACGCTTAAAGATTAGGAAAACATTGTTTCGTGTGTTGTTAAGTCCCATCATACAAATTCTCGTTCTACTACTCATGTACAAGTTGTCCAAGTATCAGTTTATGATTGGAATATGGTTCTTTGACACATTCAGTAATATACACCTATATATGAATATTATGAGTCAATCATTGTGAGATCACTATTCGAAACCTGGAAGCCCCGGACAGCCGTTTTGTCCTAGTATGGGACTCATTAGCAGGGGGTGTCCACAACCCCAGGACTTTCAGTCTCACGCGCGCACGCTCAACGTCCACACCACAACCGGAAACCAGCAGTATTTTAGAACCTAACCTTAACATTTGTATATTACAGCTGATCTCAGCTGATAAGAGGAACTCTACATAGAGTGATAAACCTAACTCATAACACTAGCATGACTTCGAATCGATGAACTTGGCCTTTTCCTTCCATTAGAAACAATAATTCGACATTATAGGGTTGATTACTCATTTCAAAGCCATTTCTCACTGATATCTTATGGCTGTTAGATGTTGTTTGTTTTATATAACTGAACAGCTGCTAGGTCGCTCAAGGTCGTCAGTGTATTATGTGATCACCTGTGTACTACCATCATCTAAGTGTACAGATCAAAATCAGTGTTCACCTCAATCTTTTCCACACAAAAATATAAACAATCAGTTTAGACAGTCAGCAAAACTACGGACAATGATAGCATAGCTAATTGATCATGCCATCGACCTTCACAACTATGTGTACACCATACTTAATTAGCAAAATAAACAGAAACAGAGCGATTTTATTTTAAGAAAGTATGTTTGAATGCTTATCACAACCAATAGCAAACACAACAGGTAGACATGTGTTTCAGATGTTTATATGATGATAACTGCACAGCACAGAGAAAGAGCAAGTACGTACACGTTTACCTGACACACTGAAAACTAATTCACAACTACATCGCATGCAAACACTGGAAAGCAGCTGATATATGACACAGACATTACATATCATAACAATGAAAACATGTTGTAAGCTCACCTTTTCTTTCTCGTTTGCTTCACGATCCACTGCTGAGCCCTAATTACACAAGGATAATGACATAGTCAGTGTGTTTGGAGGATGAACTCACTAAGTCGGTGGAGGCTAAATTAAAACAAAACCCTATTCATTAGATGACGAGGACAGTCTCAAAACAATAGTCCACATAAATGAGTGGCAGCCATTACGGAGACACAAACAGTAATTAACACCTACAGGTCCATGTGTCAATATGCATGGGTAAAATTAATTATCGATTGATAGTTTTCGCTGCAAACAGAACATTTTACACATGGAAGGCAATGATTGATAAATTCCCATAAAAATAGAGATTTGTGACTGTTTTTCAGAATGTTGAAATCATCAAACCATGTAGAAATATGAAATCTCTTCTTAAAAATCAGTTCAATTCACCTGCCAAGTAGTACAGCATACCTGTATTCTCGTTTCTAAGTCAAACGCATTCCGTCACAACAAAATAACACCTGACTATCATAACTAAGGTACAATACAATTTATAACCGAGATCTAATGGTTAAACACAAAACTTGTTGTACACATGTTTAGCCAATGTCTAATCTCTTCTTGACTGTGATCATTCTTCATAACTTGGTCACCTGGGCTTGCAGCTAGTAATTTGCATCCAAGTGTAAAGTTCCCACTAAAAATTCCGAAACAACAATACATAAGTTGTTTCGACTGCATAGGTAGATCCAAGCAGAGCATTCAGATAATGTCTACAAGTTAGACCTGTGGAGTCACAATGAAATTGGGTCAGTGAATGTCAAATGACTCGATAAACGTGGGAAACAGAAAACCATGTTGATCAATAGCAAAACATATCGAAACGGGGGATAAGATTGAAGTCAAGACAGCTTTTAAAACTTTGTATAGAAATGTTCAAGGACAAATTCTAAAGTTTATAGAAGGTTTGGCTATTCTTTCATTCAAACCCACCTTATATGTATGTAAACAATTTGTCATCATAAACTTGAATTTACCCTGGTAATCTTTAAGTCATTTTTATGGCCCAGATTAATGTGACAGTATCCTATTTTTCCCATACTCTGTTGTTTTCTCTCTCTCCATTATTTACAATTATCACCTCATGTTTATTTGAACTTCGATTTCATTGACCTCTTATTAATTTTCATATAAAATGACTTAACAAGTAAATGTTTGACCAGATTGTTCGAAATATGTATCAGTTAGTCAGGCTGTGAGTTACAAAGTAGAACTTCATACGACTCGAAATATGTATTGCGCAAGAACATCACATTTTTCAGATCAACTATATCTTCTCCTCATTTTAACCAAATTTATAAAACAGGCGAATTGCTTGGTAATCTCAGTCAGTCAGTCAGTTACAACGTAGAACTTCGTACGTACGTACATCAGTTCAGGTTGCCATACCACATTAGCACAGAGAGATGCGATTGTCAATTAAAATCCCATAGTAGTAGAGGTAGTAGTAGAAGTATTAGCAGTAATGGAGAAGATTAGGGTTCGATGATATTATTCAAGAAGTAGAATCAAGTGAAATAAACTTAAAGTGATGAAGAATTCGGAATACTGGAATTTGAGAGGACACAAAGAATGGATGCACTTGCGCCACTGCAAACAATTTTCAGTCATGTCATTCAAGGTCTCTAACCATCGATTACTATCATCTCGCGCATCCCAACTAGGTAGTCTACATCTACCAACATGACTCAATCCATTTGTCAAACATTCCATGGATTTGTGCCATGTTTTGGTTTGGCTGCCCCTGTATACCGGCATCCAGTCTAAACTTGTGTTAGAATGGCTACCATAGAGGTGAGCCGCATCGGATGCCCATATACCGACTAACACTGATCGAATTTCAATCAAAACGAGAAAATCCAAGCCATTTCAAATTGAATTTCAACACAATTCATTTCTTTTCGCTACTTAACATACATATCATTTGTTAACAATCTACAACAATGGCTGAATTATCCAGTCAGTTAGTTAGTTAGTTAGTCCGTTTTCGTTGGCTAATTTATTCGCCACTCCCCACGTACAACTGATATCATTCACTAAATGAAATAAACCAAAGAACAAAAAACCAACCACTTGTTAGGCGTTAGCTGAATTACACAAAAACACCCGTGAAATGCTGTAAGCGTGCACAAATTGAAAACATCAAAGCACTGAATGTGTTCACACTGCACAGTGAACACACGCACGCACGCACACACTTAAACAGAATATGAATAGTTAGTCACCGGATACATTGTTCATCGACTGACGGATCTCAACTATGTGTAAAGAATAACTTCGCAGTTTACAAGACACTGACGACTTAAATGGCTTTTCCAATTCCGTTACACACACCCAATCACCAATATAAACACAATCTGTTGAACAAAATCACAAAAGCGTTTGGTTAGGCCAATGTGAGTAACACACTTCACACCGTCATTGGGGTGCAAGGGAGAGAGCAATTAATTCAATGGTTAGGAGTAGGTGGATGCATGCGTAAAATTACAATTACATGACATACACCTGTGGTATTGTGAAATGAATACTTTTTGTGCCGCAGACGACGTTCATGCTCTTTGTTTAAAACTGTCACAGTCTTATCAATGATGGCGTCACAATTCGACAAGTGAGTCGGTCCACGGGCGACCATTGAATGAATACTTACAGAACGTTTCGCCAGATGACTTGAATACACAACATTCTAGGGAGTGAAAATGTAAGAAGGCACAAAACATTGTATTGCCATCATCAAAAGTCACCATATGAAATCCAGTCACATTCATAGAATTCACTCACATAAAGTCAACTACAATCAACTAACTGTCAATAGATAATTACCTTTAAATCATATTTCTTGTGAATTGCAAGTCTTGGACTGAACACATTTCGCATTACTAATATGTACGTCTCCTGATCATTCACTGTAAGTCGATAAAGACCAAGGAATTGAGGAAGCAATGTTTCACCGTGTCCTTTGACAATATACTTCAAAAGAGAGAGAGATAGGGACTCATTGACAGTTAAAAATCAACTAGGTGACACATCAATAACAAAAGGTGGTGAAAATTCGAATCACCCTGAGAAGTAACACCAGTTCAACAGTTGATTGTTGGATACTTTGATATCATTGTAAAGCAAGTGGTTTTCTCAATGCACACTGGAATCATCTGATTAACATATAGCCCAACAATAATGGCACTTTTTGCTCAACTGGTAGTAACACTTACTGACAATGCTTGCATCCCATCCGCTATAACAATGCACATAACACAAGAGTCTTTAATTTCTTCACGATAACAACATTTAACTCATAAACTTAATACACTATCCAAACTATTCAACATCAAGTAGGCATCAATTTACTTATCAGAGTTAACTATATTACCAGTTCCAGGAATCGATGCACATGTGTGCCAGCTTCTAAGATGCCTATGACTGACTGGTTAACTATCTGTAATCACTGTCAATTTGGTTAGTATATTGTTTGGATGTAGGATAAGTACAAGCTCATAATACTAGCACACTGAAAACTTGAATCCATACAATGCGGGTTGGGAGATTAATTGCCTAACGCCAAGTCAACAAAAAACAGTTTCTTACTGACACAATGCACAAACTAGTGGCCTCAATAATTCACATTTTGTCTCATTTATGCAAGCATAGTCAATGCCTTTCAATCACAATAATCATCATTGTGACCAACTGACACGACAAGTAAACATCACACTTCGTTTATCAACTTCATCTTGTTACACTACACCACATCACTTCAACGAAACAATCAAGTCAGTTGGACAAGGAAATGGAACAAATATTAAGCTATTTGTTTTCCTTATCAACAAATAATGATTAGTTATAAAGAGATATTCACTCTTGGTCAACACTAACTATTCTCACACACACAACACAACCAATATAAGCTCAAAGAGCCTTTAACGTATCTGCGATACATATTACCAGCTTACGTAATGTGAAATGTGTACACTCACAGTTTGATTTCATAATAACTATATTCATTCAGATCTGGTACATGTGTAATGCACAAACGCAGTTGTGAAATACAGAACAAGGAAGAATCTATTCGTCTGATGACTGTATAATCATTTGAAAAAGCAGGAATGTAATTAGACAACCATTCATAGTTCAGATTGCACGATAATATCGACCTGCAAGAGTTCAACGAATGATCACCTTGTAGTTGAATCATCATTTGGCAAACAATTTATAATTCTTAATCAGTTCCACAAGTAACTCATCAATGTGTTTTGCAAATTTTCTAAATTGAACTTCGTTTCAAGTGGAATAACATATTGGAACATTCCACCAATCATTAAGTAACCACTGGTTTCTATCACATAAGAAAACATTGACTGCCGACCTAGTTAGAGTTAACTGACGTCTACAGATTATCAGAATTTATTGAATGTAAACTGTTTATTCGAAAAACACTCACTGAATAATATTCTTCCAACATTTGATGCATCTGTTCAACTTCTTCTGAACTGATTGTTTTCGCCACAAATTGTCGGTTATAAGTGACTAGAAATTTCGATCCAGATTTCCCACGTGTACTATCCCATAATGGTTGATGTCTGGTGAAAGAGTCCTGAAGTAGAAAGATCATAAAACCAACGATCTTGTATAATGATACGTAATAACTAAACGTAATCTATTCATGAGGACTGTTCGTGATGACTATTCAGGAATTGGTCACTTGTTGAAAAGAAATCCAAACAGTACACTTTTGTAGTAAATACAAACCGTCATGAAACACTAGATTCGCCAACATGGTTCAATCTGAAATCGAATATTTACTATGCTCTGGTTCAATCGACATTCAACTTGCATTACGTAATACATAACTAGAGGCCAAATAAAAAGAATAGTTTACTGACTTCACTGTGTGCGAAGTGGGCCATCCCTAAGGTAACCTATTTACACTAATGAGCATCTGAACACATAGCTAATGCAGTTGACACATAAACCGGTGAACATTAGTTAACATTCTGTAATTAAATACTTCATGAACAGGTTAATATGACTTCTATGTAGACAGCTAACAATCAACATCTGAGCTAAATCTCTTCAGGTTCAAATCATTTGCTTTTCACTATCATTTAGTTTGTGAATATGAGACGGGACACTTACAGTCTGAAGACGATAAGTGTATGATATTAAATACAGTCAATCAAAAGTTGGACACAATCAGTCTATCAACTTCATGCTAACATCATCAAAGACAACTCGTACGAAAGAGACAAAGGAAATCACTATCAGGTAACTTTAAAACACACTACATATTGTGCCATCGACTGACAAACCTGTAGTAAAATTTACTGATTAATACTGGAAATGGGAGAATGGACTAAGCACTTTCAAAAAATTGTGGACAATATTCAGCATGGATTATTATAGACTGATAACCATGCAGTAGAAGAAACGGTAATAAGGCTTATGTCTAACCGATGCAATCGTTGTTTCACTCCAAAATCGTAACTTTATTTTAAACAAAACTTTGTCTATACACAGCGACTAATAATCCACGCAACTCGGCAACTGATTATAGGGATGTGTTCTCAACATCCAGCGGCAATTGTTATCCTGTGGATTGGAATACCATCGAAGTAGATGGTATGGAGTTCGAACTCACAACTTTGTAGTTAGACGCTTTAATCAATGAAGCACAACTACAAATCCATTGTCATATAGGGATATCTGCGGGGGAGATGAGGATACAACTTATAAAATTTAGTGTCTGCCACCCATCAGGTAAGAATATCAATATCTAGAACCCTTCGCTATATCCAAGACTTCTATGAAAAGCCACTCAAAATTGCTAACACGAACTTAGCAAACAATTAAGTATCAGCCAAAACTCAGTATACACAAGGTGTAAACTATTCACATCATTCAGTGGGTACACGGTAAACTTTCTATCAATACACACACACAAGTCAGCTATAAATCACCTACCCAATAATCCATCTTGTTAACTCCAAATCGATCTCGTAACGATTTGAACACCATTGGACAATATTCTTTAAACTTGAATCTACTCGGCATATTCTCTCTAATAATCACATACATCAGTATAAGTTCACAGTGAATACATGCAAACTTACTTGTTAAAAGAATGATTATTGACTTTCACTTTCATATAAGCTTTAAAATCGTCTTTCAATAATAATGCACGTTGTTTCACATGATTCAAAGCAGAAAATGAATAATTTATGCCCCACATCAATACACTTTTCAATGGTTCATTAGCTCGAAATAGTTTCAATTTCTGTTTCATGATCCTCACTTTTTTGTGTTTAGATATGGTGCCCATTAATCAAGGATGATCGGGTTTTTTACGTAAGACTATTTTTAAGAAATGACCTACAACCCACTCAAGATGACCTTGGCGAAATTCGCCTGTGAAATTTCCAATAATCAATATCCAATATCTTTTTTACGAGCTAGTATAAACCAGTTGATTTCTTTGCGCTCGATTCTCGTTCTTTCGGTACAGTTCCAGGTCTTCAGTAGTGTCCAGTGAATTTAGGTCTAGCCAGTCGGCTGTCTAATTCTAGTCAGTTGGCAGTTGGTTGTGAGTTTGTATGTCTCGGGATTTGAATGAAAACGTTTGTTTCAGGGCAGTAGGATTTCTGGATACCAGCAGCTATCACTTTACCCAGACCGAAGATCGGTTAGTTGCAAAGTGGAGAATAATAAGGATAATAACCATAAAATTCTAGTGCTAATATGAATAAAATTTAAGAACTAAGTAATATATAGATGATTTGGTTTATTGATTGGTAGCGAAAATTTTTTTCATGAGCTTCAGTATCCGTTATTGTTTTCATGATAAAGGATAAACCAATCGATTTCTTTGCACTCGCTTCTCGGTTATTCAGCACATTTCCAGGTGTTTGGTAATGTCCGATTGTTAGTTGTCTAGCCACTCAACTTTACTAAGTCTACTAATTTTAGTAGCTATTTTTGGATTTTGCATGTCCTTTAGTTTGAGTGAGTGCTTTTGTCCCAGGACATTTAGGTTTCTGTATACTAGCGGCTATCAGATTAATAGCCAGGAGGCCGGTTGGTTACTTTTCGAAAAATTATAAAGCGAAAATTTGAATTACATGCGATGACAAGTGTTGCCAAAACTAGATATATTTCCTAATAGGGTGAATTATTACCAATGGACGTACTGAAGTGTGAGAATAAAGGGGGAAACAGGGATACGAATAAACGCTATAGAAGAATTTATTGTTGGGTATCAGCGATAATTATGATGACGTATAAGTTTTGAGGCATGAATCTGGCACTACTGGTTTGGCGGGAGATGGTAACCCATGGGTGATTATGTGGTTGTAAAGTTTCATTTTGCAGGTGTCCTCTGAAAAAATTTCCACTGCTTCACCTGATCGAGTATTCCAAGGAAAAGCAAACCTTAATGATAAACTTAATGAATGTGCTTAGATTTTGCACATCGATGTGAAATTTGTGTGATGATGATGCTGTGTTTATTTGGGATTTTTCGTATTTTGTGAACTGTCAGATCATCTCTGATTCTCCTAACTCTCAGACAAGAATCACAGGTGCCTAAGTTTATCTTTTTACCTTTTATTTATTAGGTCTAACACCCATTAAGTCACATATTTCTGTACTTGTATAAAGAGATTTGTGTCGCACTGTCATGGTTGGTCCAAACGTGAAGTGAATAGGAACTGTTCTATCTATTTTCAATGAATTATGGATTTATTTACTCACAGATCTAGACATGTGATATTGGTGTCCAACAGAAAATATCCTTGTCAGTTATTCAAATAAACTAACTAAACTCTTCGCTTTTGAATCATGATTCTACGAGTCACTCATAGGTTTTTAGGTGGTATCTTACGAGCTTCATCTGAACGCTCCTATTCAGCAACTGCAGCGATACAAAACTTGATTATTGTTACACTCCCGTTCCCATTCAACAATGTAAACCTGACATGTGATTCATTTGCACCTCTGAGACCCTAATTTTCTCTACGTCCATTTTTATCATGAATGATGCCATTATATACTACTTTTACCAACCTGTCATCCACTGTACAATTCGTGCTGATAATTCTCCACCGAACTAAGACCTATGGTATTGAATAAAGCAATTGTGATATCCATTACTGAAGTCACACTAGAGATCTTGAACCCGGTCCACTATCCGATAATTGGTTAGTTAACCTCATATCGGAATGGAGAGATTACAAGCCAACCATCAAGTGTCTATTACTAACTCTGCTCAATGGGTAAAATATGTGGACTGGCTGTTATCTAATTACATTCCCGATTCCGAAACAATATAAAGAAACATACAGACTCAATGATATATCATTTTTTAGTTTCTCTCCTTCAGATCGGTGTATGGTTTCAAAACTGAGGACTTATAAGGAAACAACACTGAATTGCTCCATTTGAAACGAATGGAGTTTTGTTCTTACTGAGCTGCTATCTCACTTTTCCAGTGACGGAAGACAGAATGTCCAGGTCATTCTTTTCGGCAGGCACTCAGGTCTCTGAGCAAATGGCGCCCTGTGCCAGTATAAATACTGTTTGTTTGTTACTCCTGTTTGGTTTATCCAGTAATTCATTTGGAGTTTTCGGTGTTTTAGTGTGTATAATGTATGTCAACGTCACTAGTTATCATATGAAGTTAATGAATCTATGAAATGAGTTTTGTCTCATTGTTTTTGTCTCCGAGATCACTGTCCTTATTTTTGGGAAATAATAATTCTGGCTGTTGATACCAGTTATTTCCCTTACATCTAATATTTCCATTCATAATTAGCAGTTTCTATGATTGTTTACCAGCCAACTGTTTAAGTGGCTTGTTAAAGAAGTTAATCGGTTTACATTTTGACATAGCGTATGTTGCTGCTATCGAAAGTGTTCTATGCTGTTTATGAAACCCACTAAGAATCATTGTAGAGATTAAATTTTTGTTTTTGTTTGTGTTACATTGTCCTAAACGTAGGCATCTATCAGTCTATTACCACCCACCTCTGTTGATACGGGACAGGTAATCCTGGGTGCTAACCTAACAAACATAGCCATGAGGAATTATTCGCAATCAAGGCATGCCTGCTGCGAAAAGTTGGTTAATTTATACTTCCTTAGGTTTGTAGTGGACCTCTCTGCAAGTACGGTTCTGATGGCTGTTGTTTAAAATAGTACATCTCATAATTAACTTATCAAGCATATATCTTAGTGATAGCTTGGAATCAATCATCATAGATGAATATCTACGTGAACCATCCAAAACACCTATAGTCATTTTGGCATAGACGACCAAGGGAATTATGTTTTGAGTAACCATGATATTTTCATGGCTGTGCTTATCAATTTGCCCTATATATGTGATAAACTGACGGAACCAAACGGAAAACGTATTGCCAGTTTGTAATAATAGATATAGAAATAAGTGTAGATGATTGTCCACTGTGTTTCAGTGCAGATCAAAGAAGGAATGGGGGACTTATGGTAATGATAATTTATTCTCAAACAACAAAATGTTACAAGAAGCATGCCAATTAACAGGCAAGATCAAAATGTAAAGATTGCTAACATATTTTCTGTCATAGGTTGTTCAGTTACTGAAATATTTCGTAAGATACATTGGCTTCATATAGATGTCTGAAATTTTCCATACTCTCCAATGTACAATGCGAATAATTAGCGCGAGTTAAAACGGTTGCGTTACGACGAACTGCTAATGACTACGAAACAATTCAAGGTAGAGCCAGGTCTGCACGTAACAAGAATTGATGAGGTAAATGTGCTAAGATCTGGTTGATAAATTTACAGGCCCCTGGGTAAAGTAACATAGTCCGGCAAATATCCAGACTAATATTTGAGGATTGCAATAAGGTACTGAAGAAGAGAAGTAAGGAAAGAGGAGCGAGGAGCAGAACAGAAAATATTCTTGTTTAAAGACAAACAATGAATCAGCAGATACTTTTATAAAGTAGAACACTGACTGTATACCTGCTCTTATGTAGGTTAATGTAGACTATTCACTAGTAAGATAACGAATGGGCAATTAATCTTATGGATAGCGGAAATTCAGGAGAACCAAATTGTTAGCAATACTGTTGATTTACAGAATATAATAATGAGGTACGGTGATCTGATGCTTTTGTGATATTTTACTGATCCTTTTCCTTTGCAACGCTGTAGCTCAAGAAGTCATCGGTGGGCTCTTTTTCACAATAATTATCCAGATCTGCTTTAATAGGATTTCTTGATTCGAAATTAAAACCAATGCAAGGTTACTAACATGAGTCATAGAGGAAATTAACAAGGGAAGGTAACATCAATCTCACTGGTTGATTACATCATGCTATATCGTAAACAAACAAAATGTTCTGCCACACAGACATGGATGGATTGAGGTTGTCGTCCACCGTCATGAATTCTGGTCAGATACTTCCCCCTCTCTCCTGTTGTGATGTTAGGCCCTCTTACGTTTAATGGTAGATTTCAAATACTGTTCTTTAGTCTACGCTCTATTTTCTAAACACCTTGACAGAATGCACTTTCTCTACTAGCTACACATTACAGGCAAACCAGACAAATTTGGCTTCTTTAGTTTGGAGATAAGGAGAATAGGCATCTGAAGAAATAAAAAGAGGAACATCAGTGTCAAAAATCGATGAGTAAGGAGATAAATAGGTAAGAATGCAAGGTGTTTGGATGTTAATGAATTGGCGAAATAAAAATTTATTAAACTGTTGATACGTTAAAAAGAAGGAACTTACACTGGTACAGGAAGTTTTAGTTTCTTGGTTCCTATTCCACCTACATGTATAAATACACATTATCTGTGACTCTTTATGGAGCCGGAACCGGACCCAGATCCCTGTTACGGGATCTTGATTCTCTTCTGGACTCGGACCTCGTACTTTCTGGATGCCAGTAGAATACATATTCTACTTCACATCAATTCGTTCTCTTTTATTCAATTGCGTTTGGGATAATCGGACTTAATTAGCATGTCGAGTAGCCGGATCCTCGATCCTCGCTCTCGTATTCTGACTAAGGTAAACTCGTAATAGTTCAAGCATCTCAAATGACCTTTTTGCGTTCATGCGTAACACCTTGTCATGGATGTTTCAATGGATGTCAGTACCACATTTTGGACAAACGGTACTTGGTCTACCTAAGAGTGATAGTACAATACTCCTGTTTATTTTTTGAAAGTGATGTAACTCTTTTGGTTCGCCGAATAATATTTTGTCAAATCACTGAGTAGTATCATTATTTTGGTATCATTGTGAATTTTCATAACTTTACATAGAACTTTTCTTTACTCAGTTACATACTTTTGAATTTCGACTGGACGAAAGTATAAACCCCTCACTCTGGAAGCTATGATTAGGATGACTAATAGACGGTCGACAGTGAATCA